GAGGCGAGGGTTCTTCTTTACCTCTCCATCTCCGGGGATACGTGCGTGGGACGCACACCCGTGTTCCGGTCACCTCTTCCGAGTCCATCTTGGTCCTTTGCAGGCACGGCATGGTGCATGATGCAACAGCGAGGGGGTGTGAGCACGGGTGACCCGGGTACTCTTGCCACGCGTGGCCGTGAAGGGCTCCACGTGGGCGCGGGGACTCGTCTACGCTGACTGCCTCCGGTGGCATCCGGAGCCGCCACTGCCTGGGAGATCTTCCCTTACATGGCGCGGTGCGCGGCACCCCGCCCCGCCACGCGGTCCCGGGCAGTGTCGTCAGCCGAGCCGCGAGCAGGGTGGACTCCATCAGGTCCCCAGGCCGGTCCCCTGTGAACGGAGACTTGGGATTCCCGCTCTCGGGGTCGCTTCCGTAGTCCCCAGAGATGACTTTGGAGGGACTCTTCGGGTGGGTTTTCCTTGTGACCTGATTCGGCCTGCACAGACTGTTCTTCCAGATGGTGTGGAGTGGGAGGAAGTTCTTCCGGCTCCATAGACAACCTGTGCTCAGCGTGTTCCTCTCTGCGTAGTGGAAGACTTCCTGGGCACGGGTAGGTCACCATCCACGCTTGTCCGCAGAGCAGCCTGGTGCCAGTATCGCTCTCTCCAGTCCACTTCCTGGCGTGTTGAGATAGCCTGACATGTGCCGTCAGGAAAACAAAACAAAACAAAACAAAAAAACTGCATTTCCCAGCACCCACGGTTATACTTTCACGTGCTGGAGGACAGGGCTGGGATTTCAAACATAGGTATATTTTCCCTAAAGGTGAGTAAAGTTGCACTAGAACCCCGAACATTATTTCTATTTGCATATCCTAGCTGTGATGGAGTCAGTTTGTAATTTACTTGGGATTTTTTTTTTTAACATTTCTTGCCATTCATATGTGGTTAAGATAATAGGAAACCACGATACAGTCATCCCCCTGTTATTTTTAGTTGGTCTCAATGGAAATTATTATTTTTATGTGAGCACGCCCTTTTGTCAACAAAACCGAAGGGCTTAAGTCATGTGACCCAAATAGAAATTTAGGGGAAAGCCAACATGTGGATTGAAACAGCTTTGAAAAGTTTAGCATTTTGAGATCATGTTTTATCTAAGGCTGAAATTTAGAGGGCATATAAGGGGGGCTTAAATAAACAAACAGAACAAGAGTTAAATAGAAAACAGAGACACCTCAGTGGCTGGTTTTAGATTTATCTATTTATTAAAGGTCTGAAAACAATCCTAATTCCATTAGGGATTTCTCTTCTAAGATACATGGTCATCTCTCCACCCCCACCTCACCCTGTACCCCACTGCCACGCACCCCCTTCATATAGGCCAGACTGGTCTTAAACTTGCTACTTAGCAAAAGATGACCTTGAGCTTCTGATCCTCTTGCCTCCCTCTACCTCCCAAATGCTGGGATTGCAGGCATTCACCCCCAGATCCAACCCAGGGTCTCCTGCATACCAGGCAGGCACTTCACCAACCAAGCTACACCCCCAGCTCAGATAGTATTTAAAAATTTAAAACAGCTTTCATTTATTATTCTTGTGTGTGTGTGTGTGTGTGTGTGTGTGTGTGCATGCGTGTGAGTGTGTGCGCGTGCGCAAGCTGCACATGTGCACGTGTGTGCCACTGTACATGTGGAGCCCATTCTTTTTTACCTTTATGTGGGGCTTGGGGATCGAACTTGGGTTGCAGGCTTGCATAGCAGACACATGGCAAGCTGGGTTATTTTGTAGGCCACAGATCACATTTTCTGATGTATTTAAGTCTATTTATTGGTGTTTAAGTCTGTTCTCTTTTTACTAAGCCCTGTAAAAACAAGTAACAGCATGGTTGTGAGATGCCCAGTGAACTGCACCTTCCTCCTTACTAACCATGGAGATAGAGGTGTCTATTAACACTAGGGAGAAGTGGGAAGAAGGAAGTCCTTGTTAGGGAAAGAAATGTCCAGTAACCCTGGGGACATCTAGACATCTGTGCCGTCTCACCCACAGGCATCACCTGTAATGTCATTTCACCTAGTTCTTAGTCACCACTCCAGGCAGGACCTGTAGTTAACACCTTAGTGAGTGGCTCTCAATCTTCCTACTGCTGCCACCTTTTAATACAGTTCCTCATGTGGTGACCTCCAACCATAAAATTATTTTTGTTGCTACTTCATAACTGTAATTTTGCTACTGTTATGAATTGCACTGTAAATATCTGATATGCAGAATATTTGACACAAGACAGGGTCCTTTGACCCCAGGGATCCTGACCCACAGGTTGAGAACCAGTGCCCTTGTTTTTGTTTATTGTTTTCTTTTTTTGGTCTTTTGAACCACATGTGAGGCTGGGGAGGTGGGGAGTGGGTGTGGGAGGGTGGTGTGTGTGTTTGGGACTAATACTAGGGCCTCTAACATGCTAAACATATGTTAGCTACTCCATCACCGAGTTGCACCCCTGGCCTATTGCCTGGATGAATTTTAGCAGTAGATCAGGTAAGATTGGCTTAGCATTTCTGTGTGAGGAGAGGGCAAGTGCTGCCCTGAGGGGATGGATCTTAGGCTGCATGGGAGATGGACGTTTGCACAGTTTATATTTATTCCAAGCTTTATTATTGCTTATGTGTCTGTGTGTCTGTGTGAATGAATGCCACATGTTTGTGAGTGCCCCTAGAAGTCAGAGGGGGAGTGTTGGATCCCTTGGAGCTGAAGTTACAGACTGTTGTCAGATGTCTGATGTGGGTGCTGGCCAAGAACCTGGGCCCTTTAGAGCAGCAAGCCCTCGTAAACACCAAACCATCTCCCCGGCACTGGAAGTTAGGACTTTGGGAAAGCCACAAAATAAATTGGCCATTTTATTTTGGCTGATTTATTTGTTCGTTCATTCGTTCGTTTGTTCGTTCATTCATTCATTCATTCATTCATTCAAAGTCTTGCTGTATAGAGACCAAGTTGGCCTCAAACATGAGGACCTGCTGGCTCGGCCTCCATAATACTAGGATTACAGATATGCACTACCATGCCTGTCACTGCAAATAACCTTAGAAGAAATTATTCATTTATTTAGAGATAAGGTCTTACTGTTTTGCTCTAGCTGGCCTGGAAACTCACTGTCTAAGCCAGACTTACCTGGGATTCACCGAGATCTACCTGCCTCTGCCTCCTGGGTACTGGGATTCAAGGTATGCACCACCATGCCTAGCTACATGTTTGCATTTAAAATTTACAAGTATGTATGTATGCCTGTTTCTCTGTATGTGCACCCTGTATGTTCAGAGGCCAGAAGAGAGTGTCTGATTCCTTAGAGCTGGAGTTATAGGTGGCTACATGTGCCCATGTGGGTGCTGGGAACCAAACTTGGGTCCTCCATAAGAGCAGCAAGTGTTCTAAACCACTGAGACATCTCTCCAAATAACTTTTTGGATACCCTCACCACCAAGGGATAGACTTGCACTGATGGAGCCTCTAGGGGTAGCCCTCACCAAAGCTGCTTTGTCTGCTTCACATCATCTCCTTTGGGACACTTGTTCCACCAGTTGTTCGTGTGGTGTTGAGGTTGCCCTGTGTGGTGGGAACCCTCTGAACTTAGAATTCTTTGTGTTTGTTTTGTTTTGTTTTTGTTTTTGTTTTGTTTTGTTTTTAGGTATGAGTGCTCTGCATGTGCCTAGGCCAGAAGAGGATATCAGATCCCATTATAGATGGTTGTGAGCCACCATGTGGTTGCTGGGATTTGAACTCAAAACCTCTGGAAGAGCAGCCAGTGCTCTTAACCATTGAGCCATCTCTCCAGGCCTAGGCTTAGAATTCTAATGCCTTAGGGTTCTCTGGGCCTTGAGCCAGTAACATTAGATCCTACGTCAAGGTATAGGCTTCCTTCTGCTGAAGCATGGGGCAGAAGCATCTTTTGTGGCAGGTTTTCAGTCTTGTAAATTTCAGTGACTTCTCCTGTTCCTTGAGCCATAATTTGTCAAGAGCCATTTAGAGCATTTGCCCCTGGAATCTGTCAGGATGGGCACCCTGGTGAAACAGTTTGTGAACTGCTGATGGCATGTAGTATGTCTCCTTGCAGCATCCTTGAGGCAATGGCTAAGAGATGCTTCTGCTTCTGGCCTTGTGGGTACACCTTCCACCATCCCAGGAACAGGCTCCCAGAAAGACTTCGGAAGGGTCATCTTTTCTGCTGCAACTCAGAGGTTGCTTTGGGATTCTTCCTCTGGTGGTTGTCATGCACAATGGACCTACAGATGGTTCATTGTGTGGTCCCACCATGATCTCATTGCAGACCACGATTAAGGAAAGTGTCCACCCTTCAATGAAAGGTGCTGGGAACAGCTCCCAACCCCCTAGGCTTCCATTCTGAGTTTTACATTTATATTGAAGAGCTGAAGTCCCATAGTGTTTCTTCAGCTAATCACAGGACATTCCATGTCTTCCCGAACTTCTTTCTCTAATGATAACAGCAAACAGAAACCACTCTGAGAAGGAACACCTTTAGAGGAGGCACCTTGCTATCTTGAGATGAGCAAATCTTTGGATGCCATCACTCTTTTACCTTGTAACTTCCCCTCCTTTCCCTTGGGCAGGGGTGGATTCATTTCTTACCTTTTCCTATTTTCCTTACAGTGCTTTTGTTTTAGTAGGTTTGTCTGCTGCTGTGATAAATACCATGACCAAAAGCAACTTGGTCAGGAGAGGGTCTGTTTCGGGTTACAGTCTCTCTTTGAGGGAAGTCAAGGTAGGGACTCAAGGCAGGAGCTTGGGGTAGAAACCTTAGGAGGAATTGCTTTCCGGTTCTAGTTATCTTTCTTATACAACTCAGGCTCACCTAGGAATGGCACCACC